GCCTTCGTTGTCCTAAAATAGTGTGCACTGTTTATGTCTACTGGGGAAGGTACGCGAAAGAAGGACTCACACATCCTGAATCGCAAAAAGGACTGTTCAATACCAGTTTTGGAGCCTGAGCCACCTCGAACATTTACCAGCATTTGGACAGGTACAAGGCATAGATTCAAAAAAAGGTATTTATGCTTGAGTAGTGATGCAAAACACCAGCGTTCCATTAGTATGACCCATGCAATAGTTAGACTAAGGTTGAGCAACAATGGTTACTTATAGGATTTAATTAACTTACTCTGAATCTACGGCACTCTGTTATTTTTACTACTTGAAACCAACAGTACGACAAATAAAAAAAATAATCAGAGGCAAGCTCGGGAGCACGTTGGTGAGGCAACATGTACGTTGTTGAAGTTGCATATCCCTAAAAACGCCCACCATAGCCTGATCTCGCCAATTCGATGGAGAAATGAGTTATACAACAGCATGCGGGTTCTTCATCTGGAACACCATTTCTTAGGATGATTTTACTTAAGCAGCAGCATTTGAGGTATCCAGATAGGCACTTTAACCATAGAACCCCGAGCATATAAGAAAAAAATTGACATGTCAAATGGCCCCCGTGAGGGTGAGTTGGTCCAGACGAAAGACTGGGAACCTGTATAAAAACATGTAGATCACAAGGGAAAAGAAAAAATAATTGAAGAGTAGAGAGACCCAAAAGTAAGGAATACCGCCCCGCATTCATAACGCATTCGCCTAAAACCAGTTCCGGTCAGGTGTACCAATTGGGCCTAATGTACTGTGTACGTGGTGCGAAGGCATTATCCAGCAGATACACGCCCACTCCCCGTATCAGTCCACTGACCATCTCGGAGGGTGACTGGAGCCCGGGAGAGGGGGAACATAGAGGTGGGCCAACGACTCAATGTGATATTCTCCTTAGGTTGCTGTATTAAAGCCTTCCTTGAGTGGCTACAAATTCCTTCACGTCCGCCGTGTTTTTTACATGCGGGCCATAATTAATTGGGACGTAGAGACTGACTAGACAGCGCACACATTCTACAGAAAAGAGCATCTAGGAAGAAATCGGACTTGACAGTGGTCAAGGTTTGGGTGGGGGACTTTGTCCCTTGCCAGGAAGTATTTGACAAAGGTGTGATGCTTAACACCTATTCGATCACCGAGCTGCTATTGAGGGGAGCTACAAGGCTAGTCATGTGGCAGATACTTGTCTTTCTTCTGGCCACGCAAATTTGAAATTCTTCACGTCCCTTTTCCAGTGAAAATCCTGTCCAACCTAAACATGATTGTTTCCCTTTCCTCGAATACTTGCCATCCTCCCGTGTTTACCCTTGTAAGTGGATTGCACACGAATGAATACTGGCCCAGCTCTCCGGTTCGGCTCCATTACTTGCTAGTATCATTCCCCGCAATGCTATCGGCGCCCTGCTGACGCTAGAGACAGGCATGCCGACGCTCGGAAATGAAACCCCGTGAAGTGACTTTGTACTGGACAGCCATTTATCTGTTCCTCCTCCCATTCTTGGTCCATTTTCTGCGGCTAATCCGAGAAC